GAGTGGTGTATGATGAGTGGTGTATGATGAGTGGTGTATGATGAGTGCTTTGATCAGGATTGCTAAAAGAAGCCTTGGCGTGGCAGCGGCAATTGGCAATGCTCAAAGGCTGTGTCAGACATTTGAGAACACATCACCGTGCGCAGTTCGACACCGGCCAAAGTGGCCCAAGCACTCCTGTGAGAAAAGGAGCCGCTGCGTTTTTGCTACCATTGACATGGTAGCGGAGCTGGGCAAAGACTCGGCTCCAGGTGCTCCGGCCCTTTTGTTGCCCCGCCATGTCGCGGTGGCCTTCTTCTTGGCGACGATCAGCGGCTGCTTTGAGCCTTTGGACAACATCGTGGACGAGGAGGAGGCCAAGGTGAACTTCCACTTCGAGTACATGGTGGACTTGCAGGACTTCGTGAAGGACGAGAGCTTTGAGAGGGATTGGTGCCCTCGGAACGGTGGTCATGACCTGAAAACTACAGCATGGACTTTGGAGACGAAGATGCTATGAGGTGGATCGGTGCCGCCGAGGCATGTGCTGTCAATGACCTTCAGGCAGAACCTTTGAGGTTTGGTCGACAGTTGGTTGACCCTGGTGTGGAGGATAGAGACAGTCCGAGATTGGCGCTCGGACTACGCAGGTGGTTGCAGTTGCAACGTGATGGACAAGTCCATGGTCACGATCATCGGCTACTTCTTGAAGCATGTCAAGCTGATTGAGCGGTGAAGCCAGCGAAATGTTGCGCGCGCCTGAAGCTTTTGAAGAGGACGACTCTCTTCGTTTTGTTAGCTGGTCTGATAATTTCAAGAACTGGCTGACCTATGGGGATCATCGATATGTTGATCTCTTGAAGCAGGTTGAGGAGCTGGATGAGCCATGCACCTAGGTGAAGAATGAGATGGTTCGGTCCATCGTGGAAGAGAACAATGAATGAGACGAAGGTGAAGATCTCAAAGTCCATGGTGAAGATGGTGACGCTGCTCCTACTACAACCTCGAGTATATGGAGTACATGAAAATGGAAGTAATGAGAGCTACAACCCTGAGGAGCTCGATAACCAGAAGGTTGGTGGCTATGGATGGATGGAGCCACTACATCTTCACGATCATGGTGTTCGGCTTTGGAATGTACACTAGCTACACGAAATGGAAGAAGGTTTTCTGTTGGCGCAGGAGGCTGATGTCCTACATTCAGACTGATTGGTTTGGACTTTCTTCGAGAAGATGACCAACATCAGGCTTGGACTCTATAGAGAGTAGGCAGTCAGAGCTTCTGTTGAAGCCACTGGTGGAGAGTGGATTCGTGCGCCGTCACCTCCATTGCGGCACCATTGAGGAGGAGACGTGGAGCGTTCAGAGTTGGACAACAGAGAGAAGGACCAGAAGGAACCTTTGATGATGAAGACGAGGCATCTCGTGAAAGTCGAGGAACCTCAAGAAGAAGGCCACGAGATGAAGAACAGGAAGAGTAAGAAGAACAAGCAGAAGCGTCGAGCAGTACCTCACAGTCTGGGATGCAGAGATGCATAGACTGAGACCTTACAGGATCTTGGAGTCAGCTGATGATGCTGCAAGAATTTCTCATGTTGAGCCCAACTCATGGGTACAGAAGGCGCTACAGGCCCACAGCTTCTGAACGAGATGGGGAAGCTGGATCTGAGCAGATGGATGTAGATGGATGCTTGGCGTATGAAGATGTGCCTGTGGGTGAAGGGACAACCTTGCCTGACGATGACTACTTGTGGCAAGACTATGATCGAGATGAGCCACCAGAAGCCCTTGACTAGAACAAGTTGGAGAACTGCGTCCGGTACTTGGGTGAAGAGCTGGGCCCGGCGATTGTTGAGCGCCGGACTCCTTTCGCGTGAGCAGATGACGTGGTATGTACAGGCCCGGTTGACTTCCAAGTTTGGTGAATGGTATCCCCTCATCAGATTTGACCACGCCTTAGGATGGGATGCTGAGTACAGGCGAGGATTTACCGCCTTCTGTGCGGCGGTAATGTCCGCGCAGTGGGAAGCAGACTGGTGGCTACGTGTGAACCAGTTTGCAAGGGCGCGCCAGGTCTGAAAAGACGGACACGCTGTTTGGTCCTTTGGAGGGGTGTCAGACATTTGAGGACGCATCACCATGCGCAGTTCGACACCGGCCAAAGTGGCCCAAGCACTCCTGTGAGACAAGGAGTCACCGCGTTTTTGCTACCTTTGGCAGGTTCACGTTTCTAACTTCAAGACACACCACCTTCTGTCAGCGTTGCTCACCTGTCCTAAATGTTCGCAATTTCTCTTCGTGGGGAAAGGCCTTCTCATCATGGATGTTTTCCACCAGTTGCCGTTAGCTTCTGCGTCTAAAGTCCTTTGGCCCGTTCTCAGGCAAGCCGTTGAGCTGCAAAAGCAATATCTGGACATTTGCAGGACTTGTGCGGACTGGTGGCGGCTCAACAACTTCTTCAGAACATGTCGCTTCCAGGATCCAGGATGATCGTGTTGGGGAGAGTGCAGCTCGAGCTGCTTTGGCACAGGCCTATGAGGTAGGGCCTGGACAATGAGTTGTTTTCCCTGCGAATACGCAAGGGTTTCAATCGCATTCATTTTCAATTTACTTCCAGAGCACCAATGCTGCAGGCCACTGGCGACACACAAGAGGCCATCAAGCAGCTGGAGAACCTGTTGAGCGTGAAGATCTGAGAACATACTCTTTTTGTTGCCAAAGAAGGTGCATTTTTGCTACAAAACACCTGCGCAGCCGGGCCAAACAACTTAGAAGCGGCGCAAATTTTCCAAAATTTCGCACGCAACATAGTTCAACAACCATCATTTGCAAGTGCGACGGGGGCTTTTGATTTTGGAATGTCCCTGGGCAAATTTGCGTTTTTCTCCAAACAGTGTGGGCACACTGAGGGGTTCTTACGGTCGTAGAAAAGAAGGTGTGCTTAGACCACTGAGGCCGCGGGCGTGAACGGCTAATTCGTTGCTATTTACAGTACATTCATGCCTCTCGACATCGTCCATGCGCACTTCGACTGCGCAGGCTCGCAGAATCTGGGTGGCTGAGGCGGGTGCTTCTGGCGACTGACTGACTGCGCTCTCGTTGCGGTGCCGCGCACATATTCGCACATGGTGGTCACTTTTCGTGGCAGGCGCAAGGGAAACCTCGTGTTTTGGTGCTCCAAAGTCGACTTTTCGTGACAGGTGCAAGGGATCGGAGGTGTTTTGCTTCGAAATGCAGTTTTCGTGGCAGGCGCAGCACTTTGGACATGGTGGTGATCGTCGAGGAGCTCAGATTTCGTGACAGGCGCGGTGAATCGTGACTTTTGGACATGTGGCTCGTTTGCAGATTTCGTGGCAGGCACAGCACTCTGTGACCCTCGATGCGCAGATTTCGTGGCAGGCGCAGCGCTTTGTGAACCTCGAAGTGCAGATTTTGTGGCAGGTACAGCACTTTGCGAACCTCGAATTCAGATTTCGTGGCAGGCGCAGCGCTTGGTGAACCTCGAAGTGCAGATTTCGTGGCAGGCGCAGCGCTTGGCGAACCTCGAAGTGCAGATTTCGTGGCAGGTGCAGCGCTTGGCGAACCTCGAAGTGCAGATTTCGTGGCAGGCACAGCACTTTGCGAACCTCGAAGTGCAGATTTCGTGGCAGGCACAGCGCATGGTGAACCTCGAAGTGCAGATTTTTGTGGCAGGCACAGCGCTTGGTGCAGGCGCAGCACTTTGTGCTCTCAGATGGTCACTCTCTCACTCTTTCACTCACACTCACACCCCCTCACACTCCTCACACTCACACCCACTCACTCTCCCCCTCGCAGACTCTCACTCGCTCTCACTCACACTCGCACTCACACGCACACCCACTCACCCACACTCACTCTCACACTCACTCTCACTCTCACTTCTCACTCATACTCACAGTCACTCTCACACTCCCTCACACTCACTCTCACCCACACTCACTCTCACTCACACTCGCACTCACTCACTCACTCTCCCACTCTCACTCGCACACACACACACACACTCTCACTCTCACCCACAACACTCACTGCCACCCACCTTCACTCTCACTCACGCTCACTTACACTCACACTCACTCTCACTCTCACCCACACTCACTCTCACTCACACTCGCACGCATCCCACTCTCACTCACACTCACACTCCCTCTCACCCACACTCACTCACACCCACATTCACTTCATCACCGCCATCACCTCTCGGGACACCAATGCGCCTAGATCTCTAGACTTTCTGCTTACAGACCTCACACACACTGTTTGGGGTCTCTTGCCGGGATAATTTTTCAACAACAGTAGCCAAACTTAGAATCACCGATCAGCGGCTAATTTGAGAGTTGTTGCTTGGCTAGAGCCTGCGTGGAAGAAAAACAATATTGGTGATTTGGGAATTAAACAAAAGAGTGAAACATAGTGTTTTGAGCTGGTTGCTTTCATTTCCCTTGGTTCTTGTCGATATTTGAAGGGCAAAGAAAGGACAGGGAAATCAAAGGAAACTAAAGGAAGTTCAAAGACATCATCATTCTTTTTTCACTCTTAAACCATTGTTTTTCACAATTGTTAAACAACTCGTTTGTCATGGTTTTTGAAGGAAATTTAGAATTGAAAAGAACATGAAGGGACACTAAATTGAAATGGCAGGACAATGAAGGAAAACTGAAAGGAACATGCATCGCTCTTTTTTGCAGCGTGGAGCAGTGTGATACTGCACGGTTTTCAGACGCAGGGTTTTGTGCAATGGCGCCATATAGCGACATATGCATGGCACTTCGAAACAACCATTAAACTTAGAATGTGTTTTCCAAACCCCCCCATTCTAAGTTTATTCCCCAAACAGTTTACTGTTAGGGGTTCTCAATGCTTTAAAGAATGGTCGCCTTGGTGCTGGATGGTCTGGTCGGGTTCCCGGCCGGCTTGTCTCCCACTTCCTTTCATTTGTCTCCCAGTTCTTTTCATTTGTCTCCCAAGCTGGGTGCTTGCGGTCGGGTTCCCGGCTGGCTTGTCTCCCACTTCCTTTCATTTGTCTCCCACTTCTTTTCATTTGTCTCCCAGTTCTTTTTCCCCAAACAGTTTACTGTTAGGGGTTCTCAATGCTTTAAAGAATGGTCGCCTTGGTGCTGGATGGTCTGGTCGGGTTCCCGGCCGGCTTGTCTCCCACTTCCTTTCATTTGTCTCCCAGTTCTTTTCATTT